GGGTTCTGAGTGGGACCCCCCTGGGTAGGCATCGTTTCGTTTGAGCAGATCTGACAGGATTGATATCTCTGAACCAAACGAACAGTTTCGAAGGGGCCATTGTAGCTGGTTACTTCACGCGGGTATTTGGTCCACTTGTACCGGTACGCTCCGATGTCATACCGGTACTCGTGGCCATCGCTACGGCTGTCACCTACACCACACTTCGCCACGGGCACTTTACGGCAGCTCTGCCAGCTACCGGCGTCCACACATGGCACTAGCAGCTGCATAAGCAGCAACAAAGAGATTTTAGCCATCAGCTTTATCGCCATGATAGAGTGTTACGTTTAACACACCCTACAATTGATAGCAATGGGCTACAACAGAAGGTTACATTACCATATTTCCCTTACCAGAGGATTTTACAAGATGTTACCGCTAGTGTCTCCACGGCTGTAGGGTCACCTGGACAGCACAGAAATCAGCCGTGTTGCCGCCGCAGTGGCACAACTGTGGTCTGATTCCACATCATCATGCAGTTTATTACAGATTTTGATTAAATAACTCTCCGCTGTATCTAGGACGACATGAAAGAACTGATGAAGCATTCTTAGTCCGAAGATATTTACAAATCTCATTCTTTACGACATTTCTTCTTGAGACAAACAAAAACTCATCATCAACACAAGTCTTTGATCAAAATATACATTGCTTTTTAGCAGCTACCTTGTCAAAAAGCATTTCATTATTTCGTATCTTTCCAAACTCATCTTTGGAGAGAACCTACATATTGTACCTGAAAAATAGCTTTTGCCTTTAGCTAATGACACATTTCCTAACTGGGGCAGAGTCGGGCTGTTTGCCTGAACGAAAAATAAAGAATCCATACATCAAGAATATAGTATATTACACAAGTAGTGCTCATGATTAAAAGTTTTCAATTTTCTTTTGTATGTGGTTGTCTGTTATGTCATAGTTTTTTCGTTCCCACAAAATGCCCAGGAGGGCCTTAGCATTACCGTGATGGCTACAGATACATGGAATTTCACCCAACGTGAAGATGCTGCCCGACTGGACTCTTGGAGAAAGATTTGGAGAATCTTTCATAAAAGAAGAAATTATCTTATGAAAATATTTTGAACTGGTTCGTCAAATGTATATCTCCCAATGCACACACACGTCAACATTGTGTCAAATCCGTCTTTTGATATATCTTTAATTACGTACATTTCAATTGGAATACAGAAATGTGTTGAATAGATACATCGCATGGGCTAATTACAAATAAATAGTCCACTACCCGATACCACACCATCAGCAGACTGGCTAAATTGTAAGAAAACATATACAGTTAGTCACACGTAGTGTTAATCCAAAATTAACTCTCATCCGAACTGCTTGGGATCCGTTGGACCCCAGGCGTATATTTATATGTGTCATTATAACATTTTTGATTGGAAGAAAGCTCCTTTAGCCACCTTCCGATGGATTCTATAAAACGATAGATCCAGCACGCACTGCAATTGCTCTATGTTCCGTCAGAGGGCGCGCGCGCGTGTGTGTGTGTACATCTAAATGTGTTCATACGAGTGTGTGTTCATATATGGGTGTCAACAAAGGTCCACGTAGGGACGCAGTGACGTAGGGACCCCACGAAGCGCATATTTACATATTTACATTTGACCTTCAATCGTTTCTTCAACGGTAACCTGCCTGCCAAAAATCATGAACGTCGAACCATGTCTTCAAGAGTTATGCCACTAAATCCACCGTCTCCCACACTAGAGCGGACTGATTTTATACCCTAATGACGAAGGCAATAAAAACTTAGCACTCAACGGTTAAATCAGCAATTATTCGCACAATTATTTTCCGATGCCAGGTGACGGTATCCGGGCCGTGTTTGAGGTCCCGAGGTCCCGTGAGTCTGACGAATGCGCACCCAGGTCAGGAGCGTCCCCTTGACTCAATTAGAATAGGCACCATGCCAAGTATTGCGACAGGCAGGGTCGTCACTTGTTTTACCCGTAGGCCGTTGAATGAAATGTATGGATTCCTGGCGGATTCTTCAGTCTGTCCAACCCCACACCAGTTACAACCACTGCACGAAAAGTTGACTTTAAAGGTTGTAAACTCAGGTAATGTTTACTATGCACACAGTATCTGGCATTACAACTGTAGTAAATTAAGGTCAATTGCATTGATTTCCTTTACAACCCTTTTTTAAGTCCGGTATTATCGACTTGACCTTCAAAAACCTTCAAAGTTCAGAAGTGTTTATTTAAAAAAAAGCAAAGTAAACATTACACAACTATACAGGTATCGGTAAATCTAAGTTTTCGTGCAGTGAACCTGTCAGCGCATGCGCAGTTCGTTTCCACATCAGTTCACTCAAACAACTGGCTTTTAGAAGCCTCTATAAGCACAGGCATTCCCTGGGAGCTCAAACAAATTCTTGCCATGTTTGTCGATCATCTCGCGATGGTCATTGGCTTCCCGCTGTATCCAAGGTTACCATGCGGAGCTGAGACACCTGATACCCCCTTCATACATACAGACACAACAAGCTTAAGGTGCGCAAAGATGGCTGTACTTGGACGTCCACTTCGTCGCTTCACCACCTTGGTTCTTTTTCTCTGCCTCTTCACGGGCAGGTAGGTTGTGAAAACACGCGTACGTAAAAGGGGGTGGTTTATAGTTTAACATTCAAACTCAACAGGTATATATATGTTAGGTCTCCTAAAATGTGAATTTCGGGCGGTAGAAAAGTAGTTTCACTTTCAAGTTATGAACTGCGTCACAACAAGGAAGTTGTGTTGTTTTTTGAATGATTTCAATAGCGTGTGTTTCGAACAGGAAGAATTATCACTTATTGGGTCTTTTCTTATGCCTTTCTTAAAGTACATCCTGGAGGAGGAGGCGCGGGGGGTGTACCTGTTCTTGGAACAGTTGGGGACCGTGGAGCTCGTGTTCCGAGCCATGTGGAAATGCAGGTAAATCGGCGAGATTTGTATCTCACAATATTTTCATGGGAGCCTTTTTTTACGGGAACTACTACAAAAATGAGGAACCCCGTGTCGTGACGTTTTCAAATTGTTATTGGGCGCAACTTTAATAAAAAAAAACTATTCACGATCCATAAAACTAGAATTGCACTGACTTCCTTTCGTCGAGGACATTTATAGATTGGCACAACAAAAGTACAGCGACTTTCGTAAGGTCTTCAACTACACTTAGTATTTAAAGTAATGCTATCGTCTTCAGCTTAAATCAGCCAGTGTAAGGACATTTTCTCTATGTAATGTGAGAAAATGTCCTTGGTCAATGTTTACCAAGTTTCACAATTTTCATCTCAAAAGGTGAAGTGATGTTTATACGTACATTTATTGTTTGAAAATCAATGTTTATGTTTGAAGGCACGAGGACCCGAACCCGCGGCGGCTCGTGCTGCAGTACTGCGGGTACAGAGACTGTGGGGTGTAACCGGTTCTGCTACAACAGCGGGACTCCGTACGGTAGCGGCTGCCTCTGTACCTCTCAGTACCAGGGGCGGTGCTGTGATGTCGACAAACCGGGAAGCGGATCCGGAGGTGAATCTATGTTGTTAAAGGTGTCTGTTCTCGTACTCTCCACCAGACTCCTTTGCAGGCTGAATACAGAGTAGAAATCGGCACAAAAAAGGGATTTAATTGGCCGCCCAGAGAAGGTCCATTTCAAAGTGTCTGTAACTCTCCCCTAGATATTCTACCAACATTGTAAACCGTTTGAGACGTAACCGTAGTTTGTTTGCCAGTCTGGAAACTTAATTAGTATGACTCACAGTATTTTTGTTGCGCACAATGCGCAATTCTATTAGATGGACGAAATAGAATCCTACCACCATTGTTGCCGTGCCTATGGAGTAACATAATTCGTTTTCAAGTCCATTAGAAAACGGAATGTTTTCATCAGTCAAGTCCGGTAATTATCATGAAAGTCCATCTATGTTGGCATGGCAGTTACATGTTTAAATTTAAAACTTTTGTTCCAACACAAAAAAATTCTCTCACCTAGAGCTTTCGACCAGTCACTCTGGTCTTCCTCAGTAGACTTAAGCCGTGTCTATACGGAATCACCCAAACCGCGATTCGGGTAACTCACATTCCTCACATCTGGTCCACGTGCCACACACACCTGTGAAACCGTGTCCGAACATAATGCGCTTGAGCTACATTTATTGCTGTTTGATGATAACACGCAAGGCGGCGTGTTATTAATGTCAGAGGTCAACGACCTGCTTGCTGATGCCCCCCTCCCAGCGTATATCGGCCGAACGCCGACATGGTCCCGCCAGAGGCGGTGAAGCTCTCCCTAGAACGGACACATTATTTGACCATTACTGCTCTTTAAGTTGCTGCCACGTAAAAGTTGGTATTGCATATAAAACAAAAATTTCACTCCGTAATACATGACCAGGCGAAGTCACATTGAAATCACATTGCGTTCAGACGCAAATCGCGATGCGGGGAAAGCGATTCGAAACCACCTCTAGAAGTGGCTTGGGATCGAGGCGCTTTCAATGTGATTTCGGAGCGTTCAGATGGAGCCACTTGAAACCGGCTTCGGGGTAAACCACATGTAAACCGCCTTGGGTGGTTCCGTATAGACAGGGTCTAACCCAGTGAAGCTTGTCACGTGGCTTCTTTGAAGTGTGACGTCAACACTGGGTCAAAGGTATTTTTTGTGTTGGACCAAAAGTTTTTACTTTAAACATGTAATACTACCAACACAGATGAACTTTCATGATAACTTTTAGCGCAGTGTGTGGGAAAGAACAGAAGAAATAAAAAGATTAATTACCTCCATGAAAAATGGAGGTATTGTTACCTCCATGAAAAATGGAGGTATTGTTTTTGGCGTGTCTGTCTGTATGTCTGTCTGTGTGTGTGTCTGTCTGTCTGTCTGTGTGTGTTTCCACAACTTTGTGGTCATCATAACTTCAGAACGCCTTTATGGATTGTGATGATATTTGGTATGATAGTAAGTCTTGGAAAGGCAAAGGTCAAGGTCAAGTATGGGCCTCCTGGTGGATGACTTTGGTACTGCAGCAGAACTTCCGGTTTTTGTATCTTTTGTTCTGAACAAGCTATGGTATTGACTTTTTGGTGACAGATAGCTTATCCTGTCAGGAATAAGTGGCGTAAGTTTGGGCCCCCTAGCAGCTTGTTCTGGAACTGCAGGTTAGTTTCTGGTAAAAACTTTCAAAGCCAATAAGTCCAGATTGGAACAGCGTATTGTAACAGAGACAGATGTACATGATTAAATGCAAATTATGCAAATGAGGACTTAATTTGCATAATTAATGAGGAAATTCTATATTTACAGTGTTTCATATAATGGTACTGCTATACGTGTAATCTATTTAATCTGTGACAGGCGGAACATCAATAGATACCAATCATGCAAATGATGACCTAATTTGCATAATTACTGTGAAAATTCTGTGAATCCTTATTGGTGAATGATGGGAATTTTATACCTCGTAACATTTTGTAAGTTACTTAAAGGTTTGCATTGCTATGCATATATTATGTTAATGTAGAGGTTATTTGCATAATTAATGAGGACAAAGCAAGCCCATATTTCATGGAGGTATGAGATCTCGGAACTCTTGTTAAAACTTTTAAAGTTTTTAAACTAAATATTTCATTCCTTTCACAGGTGGCTCTTCTGACATCCAACAGGGGGGTACTACAGTGTCCCACTGGGTGTATGTTGGTGGTGGGGGCAGTGGTTCCATGATTTTCATCATCATAATCTGCCTGTGCTGCAAAAAAGCTGGCTAGGCTGTAGGGAATGTCAAAATGTTGAATAATCTTACCGAATAAATCGCAGTTATGTTCATCGCACTAACTGTACATGCACTAACTGTATGGAGTGATTTGATAGAAACATGGGGAATCGAACCCATCTAGTAGATAGTAGAATATGTCTAGAAACAAGTATTTGAAACTTTGAAACTTCATTTACACAAATTCTTGCAGACAATAAGTCTGAATTGGCAGGCATTTACAAAGAAATAGGTTAAAAGCGCTAAGGAGTTAAAATAGACAATCAATCAAACTCGATTTACAATAAAAAATATAGATGTGATAAAAATTGTATAGTCTAAATATAATACAAGTCATGAGGTCACGTCGGTATTTACAGATTGTCAGTTAAAGTGTTTGTTCAGCAAGTTTGTCATGTAAGGTATCGCAGAGTTTTTGTGGCGAGTTGTTCTACAGATGGGAGTGTCCAGTTTATTAGTAATACGTGTGTTTGTGTTTCTGTACGTAGTAGCAAGTGTTGAAGTGCAAGCTCTATGTAACGATTACAAAGAAAATGAAATGTTGCAAATCTTACCTCTGTGCCATGTAGATTTATAACCTATACTGCTATACTGTAGGGGATTACGGATAGCGAGGGACGGTTGGGGAATTGTGTGGAGAAAAAGACACCGTCTTTTGATGTTGGTAATAATGTCTCCAAGGGCACCGTGAAAATATCAAGAAACGCCCCCCCACACACACACGCACAGATACAAATATCGTGCCTATTTAGTATAGACATAGGTCCTGTTACCCATTACTGAACTTAATAACTGTGTTGAAGTACCAGAAATGTAAACAATTAAAAATTAGCCCTTGCCACTGAAAATTTATCATGGCCTTTCGAGACACAGACTAGCTGGCAGCTAATGTCAATATTCATGACCTTTTTTATGGACGAAAAGAGAAAAGTTCAACAATTTTTCAACCGGTCCCAAAGTCCACACATCCTTATACAGCAACGTCCAAAACCGTGTCCTCTAATTGGGCAACTTTTGATAGACGGAATTAGTGAACGTGCCAGACAGCCGTCAATGTATCAGACGGCAAGATGGCTGTGCTGGCCAGGGGAAGCCCACTTCGTCGCCTCACCCTGATGGTTCTCCTGTTATGCCTCTTCATGGAAGTAGGTTAGCAACAAATTTCTACATGACTTTTTTCAACATTTCATCGCAAAATTTCAGGACTTTTTGGATCTTTTTTGTGTGAATTCTGGACAGGATCAAGAACTTTTCCTTTTCAATATCTATGAGTCCCAGGCCAGTCTGTTTGTTATCATACGAAGTCATGAATAGATAAAAAGAAATAAATCCTTTTTTTAATTGTAAGAGTCTCCTTTTTTTTCTATTTTTTTCTGAAGTACATCGTGGAGGCGGCGGCGGAGGAGGCGTTCGTGTGTTTGTCAGATTGGCGCTTGGGGATCATGGAGCACTTGTACTGCGCCGTGTGGAAACAGAGGTAACAAACAACTTCCAGAATATAGAAATACTGGACTGTTTGTATGGGACAGAGTGAAAGCAAACTGTAATGTAAAATATTATTAGTGGTGCCATAGCTAAGTGCGAGCTCGAGAGATATATATGTGCATAACGATACAAAACAAGTATTTTTTTTTATTTCACAACAATTATTACGCGATTCCGATTATGATGATATGATTACGTACATAAGTTTAGATCTCTACGATGATGCATCCGTGCTCACATGTACATTTACAACACCTTTTGGATCATCGGTTTTTGTCCTGTTGTTAGGCGAAAGAACCCGCACACGCACGAACTACTGTTGTAGCGGCGAGGGCGCTTCAACAGAGTGGCATACGGTGCCTTGCAACCGGTTCTGCTACAACAGCGGGACTCCATCCGGTGACGGCTGCCGCTGTACCTCACAGTACGAGGGGCGATGTTGTAATGTCCACAAGCCACAAGGTAATATCATTGTTTTAACTACCTTTTTAACCAGTAATTAAAAAGGGTCAAGAAAGGACAGAATAATTCACCACAAGTATACTAGATACTGCATAAATGTGTACAAGAAAGATCTATTCATATCTATGAGAACAACCAGCTGTCAGATCTAAGACCTCTTATCTCCAATATCCGAAGAACGGATATCGCTTTTGTATGCCGCTACCTACTCAATATTTCTGTATATTTACCAAATAGCTATAGTTATTACTCCGTGAAGGAGGTCAGGACCTCCGGACGGAGTGTTGTGATCGGCTGATTTTTCATGTTCGCAGTCAAACCACTGGGTTCTCTTTGTGTAATCGGCACGCAATTTTATACGCCGTCTGCGGGCATGCCCGTGTTGATGCACGAATGTGTATTTTTGCCGTTGCTGCTTTCGCGGTCGATGTAATATTGCAGACGCACCCCTACAATTACGAGGCGAATTGTAATGGTCCAGAAAAACGCGTTGTTTGGAATAGCAGTGGGGGGGTGGGTGGAACTTCATGCAGATACGGGGTGGTTTTGATAAGTGGTTCCAGATGTTTTTGCCCATGGTTAAGAGATGGCAAGTTTTTTTTAAGATGTTCGCAGCCAAAATGCATTCTTCCGTACGTCGCATTTCTGTGTAATTTCGCATGTGGTGTGGCATTATGTCCGGGATGATGCACGTTCTTTTTATTTTACCGTAGCTGTTTTGATATTGGAGTAAATGCATATTTTAGAAACATCCCTACTTTTACAATCCTGTGGAATAGGCCGTAGGTTTAGGCAGTTGTCTGGTAGCAGAGGTTCTCCAAGCAGATATCCCGGGTATCTGACCGGCGGAAGTAACACTCGCGGTGCTAGCTGCGACTGTTGCTGGAATTTGGTCTGTTCCAGTCGCGCTTAATAAGTAACAGGCACGGTAAGACGGTGTCTTCGTTAATAGTGACACGACCATGATAGTCCGATCTTTATGTGAATGCAATGATTGTGTGTGTGTAATCAAAATGAACTTCAAACTTGAAGCACAGTATCTTTACACGCCCTGGGAGCAGTAATGGATTTAGGTCTTTTTATGTTTTATGCTTGTGACGCGCCCTCATTGTATTAACCGTTGCCTAATTATAATGTCTGCACAGTAGGTCTGGCGTTGACCCTTGGGATTGTTTTTGTTGAAATATATAAATCTTCACGGAGGATTGTCACCTATGGCTTCTTGTTGGTTTTCAATTGATTGGGTTTTATTTAGTTTCCACTTCAGGCACATTTAACTGTGACTTTGAGCTGGGACTGTGCGGATGGAGACAGGCCTACGACGACAACTTTGACTGGAGCCGACGCAGTGGATCGACTCCTTCCTCCAACACCGGACCGAATGCTGACCACACCACTGGAAGTACGTGTCTAAGAAGCATTACAAATAGTCCTTGGTGTTTCTGGTACTACATGTATATGCTTGTCTGTGTTGGGACTTAAGAGTTGTACCATGGTACTTTAGATTAGTTGTTGCTCCGTTACTACTGGAGTAGAAGTTACGNATGGCTTCTTGTTGGTTTTCAATTGATTGGGTTTTATTTAGTTTCCACTTCAGGCACATTTAACTGTGACTTTGAGCTGGGACTGTGCGGATGGAGACAGGCCTACGACGACAACTTTGACTGGAGCCGACGCAGTGGATCGACTCCTTCCTCCAACACCGGACCGAATGCTGACCACACCACTGGAAGTACGTGTCTAAGAAGCATTACAAATAGTCCTTGGTGTTTTCTGGTACTACATGTATATGCTTGTCTGTGTTGGGACTTAAGAGTTGTACCATGGTACTTTAGATTAGTTGTTGCTCCGTTACTACTGGAGTAGAAGTTACGTTGACTACTTAAAAAAAAACTACTTAAAAAAAAAACAGGGGGACTGTTCCCGTTTCAACCTACCCTGGTAGCCAGACTATTAAATGTATCAGGCCGTTCGCCGATTCCCTTCGGTAGCCAAAAGCAATACGGCTACGTGGGAGTTGAGCCCGAGGGAATTCGGGCAGCCCTTTCAGCTTCAACTATCTTCTATCTGTTCAAAACAAATCCTTTATAGTTAATACCACGAAATTAATAATCGGAGCACACTGCCTGGAGATTGAAAAAGGCAGACACAACAATATACCAGCCACGACTCAGAGATTATGCCCTACGTGCAAAGATGGAGTTGAAGACGAATATCATTTTCTGATGACATGCCCCACATACGACGAAGAGAGACGCAAATTAATGCAGATGATCCGATGTAAGACTACTAAAACATTACCCAACACATCTAGAGAGACGTTCCATGTACTTATGTCATGTCCAGACACATTTTCTGTATATATAGGTCAATACATTTATAATGCCATGCAAAAAAGACATCTTAGAATAGCTGCATAAGTAGAGTCACTGAATTTTTTATCAACTACATGTGTATAGTGTAGCGTATCGTAGCATTTATATGTAGAATTTTAACATTCCTGGCAAGTAACTTAGTATACACTCTGTTTAGTAGCCATAGAACATGTTAAGTATAATTAGGTACAACTGCTCACTGTACCCTTCATGTGTATAGTTTAGCGTAATGTAGAGTGTACATGTAGAGTCAAAATATTCTCTAGCCAGTAGTTCTTTATAATACTGTCAGATACAATGTCCGTTGACCATATATATAGCATTATGTTAGACACATACCAACTAGTAATTCTATTATTTGCCATACATTGAACCCGTGACAATCGTTGTGCAATAAACTTTAACTTGACTTGACTTGACTTGACTTTTCAGGCGTTCGGAGATCGGTCATTTGTGGTGGTGGTGGTGGTGGGGTATATTCTGATCAAACGTAGATCGAAAGGAATAGAATACTATTCCAGGGCTGGCGGCCGGAGCTTCTATTGCGTGCGATCTACGTTTGATCAGAAAATAAGCCCCCCCACCCCCCCAAAAAAATGACCGATCCCGGATCACCTGAAAAGGAGGCTACGGCCCTTTACTCTTTGCCTATTTAATACTGATGTTTGTCTTGCCCAGGTGGCTATTATATCTACATCGAGACGTCTTCTGTCTCATCCGGTAGTGTCGCCCGTGTGATCAGTCCTCTCGTTACTGCTACAAGTGCCAAGTGTGTCCAGTTCTGTTACCACATGTACGGTAGGAACGTGAACAGGCTCAAAGTGTACATCAAGACTGGCTCATCGCTTGGGAATCCTGTGTGGACTCGGACAGGAGCACAGGGAAATCAGTGGAACTTTGGGCAGGTAGACATTCCAGCAGGGATATCATTCAATGTAAGTAAAGATTGGTTCCTGACGTCTTCGCGACTTTAAGGTTGTGTGCATATGGGTATGTGTGGCTATATGTGTATGTGCTAATCTGTTTGCGTGCTGGAGTGTGTTTGAGTGTGTGTGTGTGTGTGTGTGTGTGTGTGTGTGTGTGTGTGTGTGTGTGTGTGTGTGTGTGTGTGTGTGTGTGTGTGTGTGTGTGTGTGTGTGTGTGCGTGTGTGTATGTATGTAAGGTTTATGCGCTATAGATGATTTGATGATAATGAAGTGTGAGCTCTTGGATCATACTTTAATGTTGAAAAATGTTAGAATGAGTCTCAAATATAATTCACCATTTCAGATGTTCTTAGATGTCGATATATGTTCAGGTATCAGCTGACTAAATGTTTCTAATTGATTTAGAGTAATGGTAAGAAAACAACACCCATGTAAATTAATATTTGCCCATAGATTGTGTTTGAAGCAAGCCGGGGATCTGGATATTATGGAGACATCTCGCTGGATGACATCTCTATTGTGGACAACTCATCTGGTAGGTTTGATATCATATAAAGGAAGAAACCTTATAAAAACAGTGTTATTGGAAAGGTATTCTTGGTACTTCAATGGGCTTCTTCTTGAACCCAGGGGAACTCTTTTTTTTCAGACTTAAAAATGCTTCTGTCACTAAAAGAACTAATACTATAGTATGTCCGTGACAATAGTTCTCCTGCAGTAACCAAATAAATCTGTATCCATCAACAACTTCTTAAGTTATACTAACCACAAATATACAGACAGACAGGCACTACCAAAACACACACAAAAATACCTCAATTTTTCATGAAGGGAATAATTCGGAAAGAATGCCTCCAAAAGGCCAGACCCTTCTTCCTTGCAAATGCAGTGCCAATTACTGGTGTGTGGCAGATAGATAATAAAGAAGTTCAGCATTATTTCAATTCAAATCATTTCATTTTTGTTCACAGGGCAACAAGATACAGGGCAACAAGATACCATCATTATCAACTACACTTCAATAAACCTCAAGCTTGGTCTTGGCCTGGGTTTACCACTCGGTATCCTAGCCCTCGCCATCCTCGTCTACGTTTGTAAGAAAAAATGTGGCTAGGTTGAAGGAACAGGCAAAACCAAAGGAGATGCCTCATCGTCCAAATTGAACGTGGACTTGATGAATAATCACTTTTGATTTAATTACGGCGTGTTGTTTTGTTCTGTGTTGTGTAGTGCAGTGCTGTGTTGAGTTTTAGCATATATCGGATCACTTTTAGCAGAAAACATGGCATGGTACGGCATAATTCTACATAATTATTATATGACTACCAGTAGAATTGTTTTGTAAAATCAATACCACTTCCTGATTTGCTTTTGTTTTCCTTGTTTTCTTATGCTATGATATTTTCTTTGTGTTAATATTGGTTTCTTATGTTGTTCTTACTCATAACAACTTATGATTTGACTAATGGAAATTTATTTATTTTTTGTTCCATATGATTTGTTCTTGATTGTCTTACCTTATTGTTTAGTATATTTAATTCGCTGTGTTAACTTTATATTATCTTGTACCTATTTTGAGTTAATTTGTTTGCTTGTCCCTTAATACATTGCAAGTTAAATGTAAATGTAATAAATGTATGTAAATAAGAGATCGTAAAATTAATAGGATTTGAGAGAGTCCACTAGACAAACCTTCAGGTTTCTTGGGCTCTCCAGCATATATTTGCTTGTATATAATTTCATTTTATACTGTTACTTTTTTATGTGCAAACTGACAATAAACAAACAATAATAAATTGTATATAGATTTTAGCCAAATGATCCAGGAAAGTCTCTCTCAGTTACTGTACACTACGTTACAAGATCATTAGGTAGCTTTTTGTCACCAGTATCCGTAAGAAGTATTGTGTGCAGTGTTGCTTGCTTTGGAGTGCCACAAATATCATGTCAGGAAAATTTAATGATTCTGTGAGAGTATGAAGGTAATAAAAAGAAATTGTATCTCGAGTCTGTTCACCATTATATTTTAGAGAGCCATTCTGTTAAGCCTCGTTCCTACTGAAGTTCTGATTCTAAATTCCATGATTGTTGTTGCTTTAATAGGAGTAAACTTAGAACCTATCGCTGTTGTATGTGTGTACATGATCTTTTTTATTAAAAGTAAAATGAAACAGTCATGATCGAGATGAAGCATACTGTGTTTTTTTTATTCAACAAAATAACTGTAAATAATACAAAAGTAAACTGAAAAGCCAAGAAGGCTTGTACAAATAGAAAATAACATAAAGAACGGAAAAGCCTCCCATATCATAAAGCCATTACTTTCGAGCTTGACGAAATGAAAATAATCTTAACAATGACATAATAACAATAACAGAAATTATAATGAACACAGAGTTCCCCACTTACCCCGATGCTTCTCCAGCATACTGTGTTTTGATTGCCAGAAATATAACAGTTTGCCACAGATCGTGTTTTCATCCAGACGCCTCAGTCAATGCTGCTTACATACGAGGTCGGAGGTATTATTGCCCATCCGGTTTAAAGCACAGAATGTCGGGAAATCTCTTCGATTAAACTACACTATGTCTCTTTATATCTTAAGTAAATCTTAAGTCGTTCTACAGTCGTATTTTATTTATTTAATTTTTTTTATTTGTTCACATAGAAAAAGGTACAAGACAATCCACGAGTAAAGAGACTATAATTCAGGCTGCACGTGCCAATGCGAAGGCGTGCCATAAGAGCACCAGAATAACGAGGACCGTGACTGAAGTACTCAAATTTAACAGGCCGTTGAATAATTTTTATTCAAAGGTCACCCTAGGGTGCTGTCATAATTTCTCAATTGACGAAAAAGAGGAATATTCATCTCTATTGAATTCTAGTATCTTTATTTCTATCGTAACATTCGTAAGGCCACAGCAAGTACGTTTTATGGTTAGTAGGATGCTAAACTATAATAAGTATTATTGACCAAGAAGCTAACAAAAACCTAACAAAAATACTAAGTATATATTAAACTAGATGCCACCCATTCATTACTCATGCTCTGCAGCACGGAATAACAATACATTTTGTACCTGGCATAGTATGAAAATGGTTTGTTGTTCATGTATCCAGATCTGATAGTATATTAGGCCGTTCAAGGAGTGAATACAGGATGCGGCTTGACTGGAACAAAATGAAATTAGATATGACGCAAAATCGTCAGAAATGATATCAGTCATGTCTCCCTCAAAGGCTAAATATTTTTTCAGAATTATTTTCCTATAATCATATTACCCTGATGTAAGTATGGGGGAAGGAACCCTAATCCATTGGCGTTTTTTCTTCTTCTGAATGCATAAATTATCATAACCTCCTATGTAGATCTTCTAGATGGCCGGTGTTTTTGCATGGCTTCATGTAGTCGGGGAAGTTGTGATTATATACTTTTAATTATAACACATTAAAATGTGTTGCTTGCTTTCAGCTGTCAACGGGAAAATCCGTATTTGGAACACAATGCAATGTCCCGTTCATAAGCTTCATTGACTTTGTATCAGTCCTTGTATGTATTAAATTGCCATGCCATTTCTTTGGTAGACGTCCCCTGACTTACTAAAAACGACACATTCGTAATTTGAACGCCTAGAAGCTGTCCTTCGAATTGTAACGTTACGTGTTGCCACATGATATTACATTTATTTCAGTTTTCATAGGATTTCACACAAATTTAAATGTTATACGCCTGTTTGAGAAACTAAAAGTCACAATTCACATAAACATTCTACTGACTTCAAAGAGTTTTTTCGTTCCTTTGAAAACAGAAGATAAAAGCTCCACGCCTGAACATACCACAGATTTCTTAAACGACCTACTTACAACAGGTGGTCAGAAGTTAATAAAAAAAAAGAAAAAAAATCTACAAATATTTTATAATTTCCTCTGAGCTTTATTAGTCTGTTGCTAAGCTAAAACTGTAATCATTCAACTTTTCTCAGCGTGGCAACATGGGTGACTTGAGAGTATCGATATCGTGTTGAAATGCGGTCGTTTCTACCGTATCTTCGTTTATGTGTGTATTGAAAAATTACAACAAACATATTCGTGTGTAACAAAAACGTACTCATCCTGGTTATTTGTTTTCTATTCAGTTTTGTGTCACAACACAATGTTTTGAAATTTGATCTGCTGTGTTATTTTCTAATAAAATGAGGACAATATTGTTGTTGTTATGTAATTTTTATCGATAGAATTCTACTTTTGGGGTTTATTACTATTACAATAACTATAGAGATAATTTTACTCGATCATCAGATCATCAAAATAACTAGCCTGGGTGCCATCCCCAGTAGTATATTCGCCAGCTCTATAACTGGGTCTGGACTTGATGACATATGAAACGTCTGGTGATGACGTCACGTAATGAGCTAGTCCGAGCAGCGGGTCTTCATTTGATTGGCTGACCCTCAGAGGCGACGGCCAATGGCGCGCCTGTATTATTCAAGTGATGTCTGTTGTTTTGTAAACACAGATCTTCGCGCGAGTGTTCCTTTTCTCGGTGCGTTCTGTTTTTGCGAGGTCAACATCAAGTTATAGAGCTGGCGAATATACTACTGGGGATGGCACCCAGGCTACAAAATAACACCGATTTTGTCATCTTCTAAGCTATACTGTAATCATACCCACTCATCACACATCCACATATGCAATCCACAACACCATAGAACAGTCAGAAACAGAGGGGTTACAACACTTAGATAATTTATTCAAACTCATCAACCTTAACAAGGTTTGGGTCTTATTTTATAACCGTCTATGTGGTGACAATATTAGGCCTACACGAGTTATCATCTCAACAATATAAAAGATTATCTCAATAAGACCATGCAGTGTAAAATATTTTAGTATTATGATCATCAACACAAATGCATGCTGAGATGGCACTATCATTCAAGTATATTATTCAATACCTTACACATCATATTATCTAGTTCATGTTTACAAATTGTTTCAAGGCACATCATTTGTATACATTAACTTAAAACTCTACTAGTACAGATTAATATGACATTATTTAACAATATCAACATCACAGTGTTAACTCTTTACAAAAGCGTTTTGCTTCTGCACTTTAATGTACACTTTCTTGGTTGCGAAACGTCATCCCAAATCATCTAAAAGTACCATTGCAACTAACTGCCGTGTGCTATGCCAAACTCAAATCATCAGTATATGGTATATATTGTTTGTTATACATGAGTTTGCCTTGCCACTAACACCAACCTTCGCACAATATGAAGATATACTAGTATCGTTTGCTCTGTTTCTTCTTCTTCTCCATACAAATAAGGGCAATAACCTAGACCAGATGGCTGTAACTATGGCTTTTGCTGTAGCAGACACCCTGTGGTGTTGGGTTACATTATGTAGCAAGTGGTCCCACAGGATAAGAGGGGCTGGTCACCATGTATAAGAAAGCGTTTAAGTGAGAATAAACAGAGCAATAGTTTGTTAGGATATGGACCATGTACATGTGAAGGTAAACATTATGCATTTGCATTGCAAATGTTACTTTTCTAGTTACAGAGTGTATTCTTCAGGAACGCTATGGCCGCAAGCTGCTTACGAATTACACACATGCAACAGTTATGCGCATGCAAGGTGATGATATCACAAGGGTAATGTACTAGATTTATTGCTGGACTATATTTATGACGATTATCATTGATCAGATCCATACGGTACGCTTGTAGAGAGCCCTTTGAAGCAGGGCCTTAGAATTTAAACATATTGTTCATCATCATCATCTGGTCGTGAGAGTTTCACGGATGCCCGTGACTCTTTTCCGCCATCCCTCTCTGTCCTCCATGGTCCTGGGCAGGTCTTCTGGTCTGCAGCCCGCATCCTCACATAGTTGGTGTATGTAGGTTGTGCAGGGTCTGCCTACACTAGCATGCCCGTGTTTGGGTGCCCAGAGAAGGACGTCACTAACAATCTCTTCCTTGCTCCTCCAAGCATGTCCAGCAACATATTGTTACACATAGGATATATAACGTATTGTATATGGAGCACAGTACAACAGATTGCCCGACTAACCCACCATATCTATTGAGGAATCACAACTTCACAGGCATGCAAGGCACGAAATGGCAAGTTTAGCCTTCGCTGTCCATTGGTTATAGGTGGTGTATTGTGGATCAGCCTGTCCCGCGCTCGAATCCCAGCTGTTGTCGCATATCTGAATCCGACTTGCACTCAAAGCTGTGCATACTTTGGGGAATACTGCATTAGAGATCTCTCAAACACATTTGTATGCATTTTCATGATAAATATTCGTTACACAGCACCATGTTTCCAGTTTCAGTTTTATTCAGATCCACAATTAGCCTCATAAGAGGCTATTCTTCCTGTGGTCTGCACATTCATATTCACA